TAAACCCCTAAACCCTGAACCCCTCGGGCATTCCGGGCTCTGCGAGTTCATTCTCAGGGTTTCTACACGGGCTTGAAACAGGGCTTTTCGATAAGGGTATAGGGTCTAGGCTTGAGAAACTTACGAGCTGAGGGTTTAAACAGAGTTCAGGGTTTGGGGTTTAGGGTTTAGGGTTTTTAGGGTTCTTAGACTCAGGCGGAGATATACCATACAATGCATGAATAGTCCTCCCTGAGAAGGGAGGGTTCTTTCTACATATATATATATATATATATACATTGTCGGAGGTGCGTGCAGGGTGCATAGAACCACCCTGGCTGTAAATCCCAAGCCCAATCTTAGACGCGGGCGACAACTGGAGTGAAGCATCTGGCAACAGCCCGCTCGCAGCATTCCAGCTTCTCGTAGCTGATAACATCCTGGGGTGGATGTTGGTTAACGTTCAGTCTGCTCCATCTGCCGACCGTGAGTATGATTTGTTTACTGTTCCTGCTAGATCTTACTAGCACTGCAGAAAACCCCGCGCTAAACCTAGAACATTAAAGGTATTGCTAAACCTAGAACATTAACGGTATTGCTCATCCTATTACCCTAAACCCCTGCGTGTTATGGATTCCCAGTCGGTCAGAACCCCAAGGAAAAGTGCCGACCGCCGTTCGCCAACTAGGTGTTTTGGGGGTACAGGTTGGGATTCAGGTTCCAGGGTTTCTGATTTGTGCGCAAGGCTCGGACCCTCAACCCCAAACCCTAAACCCTAAACCCTAAACCCTAAACCCTAAGCCATGGTTATGACTTACGGACTTATGATATACACATAAGCCTTGAGCCCTACAGCTGAGGTCCCTTACCACGGACTGCTTCAAAACAACCGCAAGCCCTAGACTTAGACTTCAAAAAGCCCAGCAGCCCTAAACCCTAAACGGTAGACTCCTGATCGCAACCCTCACCAGAAGTGCAGAAGTGCACAACAGTACGACTCTGGAGAGAGGAATTGTGACAGGCAGTCTGGCTTCAATACCCTCTTCCAACCTACTTACCAAGCACCCCGACCCTTTATGTAGCAATCCTCGCTCGTCTCCGCGCCAATCTCCAAGGTCGATCGTTGCTCCTGGGAAATATTTCTCTGGTTCTTAGTGGGGAATGGGCTATGGCTATAAGGGCCATACTATGAGGAACTGTCTACAGGACTACCATAGTAGGGGATCCATCCCTAAACCCTAAACCCTAAACCCTAAACCCTAAACCCGATTCCGTTTTAAGAACCACGAAGTTCTTGGAGAGGTTGGGCTTAGGGCTGAGACTTTAGGGCTTTAGGGGTTTGGGGGTTGAGGGTTT